CCTGGGTGGGGGCTGGGAGCTGCTGGGAAAGGCCCAAACACTTGGGTCCAGCTGGGTGGGTGTTGGGGAGGGTCTGCCCGGACCCCTGGGGTCAACCCCTGCCAAGGGAGTCTGGGACCCACTGTGGGGGGGTTCCTAGATTTTTGGGTCCACCTGGGTGGGGGCTGGGAACCACAGGACGCCTGGGTCCACCCCCACGTCGGGGTGGGGGAGGGCCTGCCCGGACGCCTGGGTCCTTCCTCATTTCGGGGAAGGCGGCTGGCGAGGGGCCACCGGGAGTTGCAACACCGCATGGGGTGGTGGGGAGGGACACCGGAGGGGGGGATGCGACGGGGAATGGGGGGACACCAGGGGATACCCATGGCCCTCCTGGGTTGTGGGGTGGGGGTAGGCAGGACCCAGATGCCTGGGGTCCCCCCCTGGACCCGGGACACCTGAGTCCCTTCCTGGACCCTTGGCAGGACCCGGGCATCTGGGTCCCCCCTGGACCGGGACGCCTGGGTCCCCCCGGACCCTTGGTAGGACCTGGACGCCTGGGTCCCCCATGGACCCGGACACCTGGGTCCCCTCCTGGACCCTTGGCAGGACCCGGACACCTGGGTCCCCTCCTGGACCCTTGGTAGGACCTGGATGCCTGGACGCCTGGGTCCCCCATGGACCCGGACACCTGGGTCCCCTCCTGGACCCTTGGCAGGACCCGGACACCTGGGTCCCCTCCTGGACCCTTGGCAGGACCTGGATGCCTGGGTGCCCCCTGGACCTGGACACCTGGGTCCCCTCGTGGACCCTTGGTAGGACCTGGACGCCTGGGTCCCCCCTGGACCTGGACACCTGGGTCCCCTCCTGGACTCTTGGCAGGACCTGGATGCCTGGGTGCCCCCTGGACCCAGACACCTGGGTCCCCTCCTGGACTCTTGGCAGGACCTGGATGCCTGGGTGCCCCCTGGACCCAGACACCTGGGTCCCCTCCTGGACTCTTGGCAGGACCTGGATGCCTGGGTGCCCCCTGGACCCAGACACCTGGGTCCCCTCCTGGACTCTTGGCAGGACCTGGATGCCTGGGTCCTCCCTGGACCTGGACACCTGGGTCCCCCATGGACCTTTGGTAGGACCTGGACGCCTGGGTCCTCCCTGGACCTGGACACCTGGGTCCCCCATGGACCTTTGGTAGGACCTGGACGCCTGGGTCCCCCCTGGACCCTTGGCAGGACCCAGACATCTGGGTCCCCCCTGAACCTTCGACAGGTCCTGGACGCCTGGGTCCCTCGTGGGACCCATTGGGTCACCATGCCCAGATGCCTGGGTCCCTCATGTGACCCTTGGCGTGGGTGCAGGCCCCAGACACATGGGTCCCAGACGCCTGGGTCCCCCCATGGGCCCCCCGTTCCTCCCACCACCGCAAGGCGTGACCACAAGGGCCCCACCCCGGGGGTGGCAGCTCCTCCCCGGCTGCAGGCACCGGGGCGGGAAGGACCCTGGCATCCGGGCACCGCGTCGATGTTCCCATTGGCCCCCGCGGCACCCCAGGGCGCAGGCGCGGCACCGCCGGCTTCCGGCACCCCCGCGAACCCCCAGGCCCAGCCGGGCCCCACCACCACTGCTGCCCGCACTGGGTGGTCCCTGAGGCCACCGGACCCTCCCCAGACGTGGGTGCACCAGGGGGAAGGAGCCCATCGGCACCCGGTCTTCTCCAGGTGTGGCGGCAGCGGTGGGAAGGAGACCGACGCCGGCCGCTTCTCACCCCTGGCGGCTGCGCCGCGGGGCCCCATCGCTACCGGTTCCTTCCCAAACGTGGTGGTTCCTGGGGGGGAAGGACCCCCCTTGCTGTGAGAGCCTCCCCAGAAGTGGTCGAAGACTCATCTCCATCAGCTCCTCACCAGGAGTCATCCCGCCTCTGTCAGTTCCTCACTGGACACGGTCCCACCAAGGCCTCACCTCTGTTGGAACCTCACCAGAAGTGGCCGCACTGCAGGACTTCATCTTCTGCTTCTCCTCTCCAGAAGTGGTCCCACCAAGACGCGTCTCCATCAGCTACTCCTCAGACAAGATCCCACCAGGGCCTCATCTCCATTGGCTCCTCCCCAGAAGTGGCCCCACCAGGACCCATCTCCATTGGCTCCTCCCCAGAAGTGGTCCCACCAGGACCCATCTCCATCGACTCCTTCCCAGCAGTGGCCCCACCAGGACCCATCTCCATCGGCTCCTCCCTAGACACCATCCCACTGGGACGCCATCACTGTTGGAGGCTCCCCCCCAGAAGGGGCCCCCCCAGGCCCCATCTCCATCAGCTCCTCCCCAGAAGTGGCCCCACCAGGACCCATCTCCATCGGCTCCTCCCTAGACACCATCCCACTGGGACGCCATCACTGTTGGCGCCATGGAGGCATGGCGGCAGTGCGCCCGCTGGCTGGTGGCGGCGCGGGTGCTGCCCGCGGGGCACCGGGCGAGCAGCCCCGGGGGGCAGGTGTGGGACCTGGCGCAAGCGCTGCGGGATGGAGTGCTGCTCTGCCACCTCCTCAATGCCCTCCTGCCCCGCGCCGTGCCCCCCCGCGACATCTGTCCCCGTCCCCAGATGTCACAGGTGCGACCGGGGGCAAATACCCACCAGGGTGGGGTAACTGGGGGGGGTAATTGCCCCAGAAGGGGGTACGGGGGTGCTGGTTCCAGCAGGGATGATGGTGACGGTGACAATGACAGGGCTGGTGTGAGTGAGGGTGATGGCGATGATGACGGGGACAATGGTGGTGATGGTGACAGCGGGAGTGATGATGATGGTGGTGATGCTGGTGCCAGTGGGGATGATGATGATGGTGACAACAAGGTTGATGGTGACAATGACGAAAATGGGGATGATGGTGATGGTACCAATTGACAGCAGGGATAATGATGATGGCAACAGTGATGGGGGTGACAGTGATGACGATGGTGTTGGTGATGATGGGTGTGGCTGTGATGGTGTCAATGGGCATGATGTTGATGGTGACAGTGACCATGGGGGTGACGGTGACCATGGGGGTGACGATGACCATGGCCACAACAATGATGGTGATGATGATGGTCCTGGTGCCAGTGAGGATGACAGTGACATTGACAATGATGGTGTTGGTGACAGTGAGGATCATGGTGATGATGGTGATGGTGCCAGTGGGGCTAACAGTGACAGTGTTGGTGACATTGATGATGGGGGTGACAGTGTTGACGACAGAGATGATGGAGGTGCCAATGTCAATGGTGGTGATGATGGGGTTGATGATGCTAATGGGGATGACAGCAGCGGTGACAACGGGGGTGCTGATGGGGGTGATGGTGCTAGTGACGGTGACATGGTGTCACCACAGTTCTTGTGCCTGAGAAACATCCGCACCTTCCTGACCGCCTGTGCTGACAAGTTCGGGCTCCCGAAGCACCGGCTCTTCGGCGCCTTCGACCTCTTCGATGTCCAGGACTTCGGCAAGGTGGGACCCAGGCGTCCGGGTCAGCCCTGGGGGGGACCCAGATGTCCGACTCCTGCCCCTCCCCACCCAATGTCCCCTGTCTGTCCCCAGGTGATTGACACCCTCTCGACGCTCTCCTGGACCCCCATCGCCCAGAGCAAAGGCTTCACGTGAGTGCGGGGGACCCAGGGGTCCCATCCCCCTCCCCAGGTGACCCAGGCGTCCGGTCCCCGAGGGACCCAGGCGTCCGGGCTGTGTCCCCCTCCAGGCCCTTCCCTACTGAGGACTGCGTTGGGGACGATGACATCTACAGCGGCCTCTCTGACCTCATCGAGTGAGTGGGGCAGGTCGGGGGGTGTTAGGGAGGTACTGGGATGGGTTAGGGGGTGCCAGGGGGCATTAGGGGGGCACTAGGGGGGTATTGGGGGACATTAGAGGGATATTAAGGGTCATTGAAGGGTATTTAGGGGAGTATTGGGAAGTACTGGGGCAGTAGGGGGGTGCTAGAGGCATTGGGGAGCACTAGGG